GTATTGTTCAAAGACAAAATTAAAATTGAAGAACTATTCAATGGGTTGAAAATAATGTATAAAAAGAAAATTATTGTTCAATGTGACAATAAATTTTGAAGGTATTGTCCAAATATTTTATTTTATTTTATTGTATGTGTGTATAAATAGATAAATATATATATATGTATATATCTATATCTATATCTATATCTATCTATCTATCTATCTATATATATATATATATATATATATATGTTTAAATATTTATATATATAAATACATATATATGTATATATGTACATATATACATAGATATATACGTATATATTCACACACACACACACACACACACACACACACACACACACACACACACACACACACACACACACACACACACACACACTCACACACACACACACATAGATATATATGACTGCCGTGATGATCCAGTGGTTAGTGCACTGGACTCCGACCCTCGTGGTCCCGAGTTCAATTCCCAGTCACGGCGGTCATAAAAATGCCTTCGCTCTGACTGCTCGCTCGTGCCCGAAAAAACGACATATCGGCTTGAGAAGTCAAACGCAGGTGTCGGAGGGGAAGTCACCGCCGTGGCACAGGTGTTAGCGGTTGACTAGGGCGTCCAATCAGGCAAGGGTGACACTGCCATATAACCTCTCAATAGTGAATAAAGAGGCCTATGTCCTGAATGAATGGCTGTTAAAAAAAGAAAAAAGAAAAAAAAAGAAAAGAAAAGAAAAGAAAAAAGAATATATATACACACATATGTGTGTGTGCATCATATAGTGCACACACAATGGCAGTTATTTAAATCCTACCTTCTTTCTCGATACCCATTCTTTTAAGCTCCATCCAGGATATATCCATCCTCATTAATATCTCTTGGTTTCTTTCCCTCCGTAGGCAGAAAGAGGGGTTTGTGAAAAGCAAACTACTGCAATTCCTTTTATACGTGTTTATTGCAAAAAAATACAGGCGAGTTTTCTTTGGCAACAGAAGCTTATTTACAACTATAAAATGCAGCAAGTTACAGGAAAAGGCGGTTAATCAACTATCTATTCAGACCGGAACAGCTGGCGGTTACAGGAATTATCTTGAAGGCAAATTTTGTAGTTTTGCTATTTAAAGCGACCTTAGGTAGTTTTTTTGACTCAGCTGTTCATTTAAAAGTGTACTTTTCTTTGATTGATTCTATCTTTTTTCTCCTTTCTCTCTTTCACCTTAACCCATTCGCGCCGGGTAAAAATGAACAAAAAATGGGGGAAAATGCCGTGCTCAATTTTTATACTTTTTGTGAAATTTTTCTACACTAGATGGCTCTGCCTTACCTGATTTCATTTGGCGGGAAAATGTATTTTTACTATTACAGTGAATATCGATGGTTATTTTTATTATAAACATTATAATTACTATAATGTTAGTAACAGCAAAATAAGATAACGTATAATATTTTCGTAAATTAAAGAAAAGGGTAAACAGGCGAGACAGGCAGTACAAGTACAAGTGCAGCCATCTGTGTGAAAACAATTAAACAAGTAAACTCACAGTGGGCCCGTCCCATATACGTGACACCCGGCGTGAATGGGTTAAAACTAATGCACTGTTTGGTTATAAAGATGCACCATAGCCTTACAATCGTTTGTTTCTGGATACAATTTAGTCCGAACTTTCCGTTTCGTTCACAAATTGCATGTAAATACAAAGACATTTTTTTTCATTCTCTTGGCATATCTTATATACATTTTGTTGTGTGATATGACCAGAGAGCGAGGGAGAGAGAATAATAAAAATAATCATAAAGAACACAATAATACTATGTAGAAAGGAGTTTGAATTAACTATGAAAAAAAACAAAAAACAAAATCGAACAGCTGTGAACAAGTGTTTCTAAAATTACAGTTAGTACATTTCAAAGACTGCTGTCGGCCTTTCTCAACATACTAAAATTCCTTTTTCTTAAGACTATATATATATAAGCTCTATCTTATTTAAAAAATATTCATGATAAATGACAAAATCCTCCATGTTTACAGTCCAAGTCGAGGAAAAATATATACCACGATTGCGACTTTATTTTATGGAAATTGGTAAGGTATTTTGTCACGATTTCATTTGACTGAAAAATACAGGGAAAATAATTCCATTACTCAAATAAATAAATCACTCAGAAAACTGACTCGAATGCAAATGGTGAAAAGGGCGGGAAAAAGGTCGGTGAATCCTCCAATGACGTCATACATACAAGAACGCTCCCGAGGCTCACAAGAACGCGAAATGGAGTCAGGATGCACAAAACCACAGTCAGCCACAGCTTATTTACATGTTTATCAAAATAACTATATATATATCTACTAGAAATACTCATCTACTGCCTACGACGGAGCAACACAAAAGAAAAACACAAATAAAACTGTCAGACACGTGTAAATGAGGATGTAATCACTGGCCTCTCGTTGGAGAAGCACCGAGGGAGGATTCCGTTTCATTCGGGTTTGGATTCTTTAGCTTTCGCCCCAAAGAACAAATAACAAGAAAAAAAAAGACGAACACACACACACACACACACACACACACACACACACGCGCGCGCGCGCGCGCACACACACACACACACACACACATACACACACACACATATGCATATATATGTATATATATATATATATATATATATATATATATATATATATATATGTATGTATGAAATCCGGTTCAGGATTTTTTATTATTGTAAACAAGTCATCACAAATTTGCAAGTGTGTTTCTGAAATAAAGAGTGACGGGGCTCTTTACAAGTGGACGCAACAAGAAAAAACAAAACGTCAATGAAAAAATACCATGGATAATAGACAATATCTCCAGACAACAGTCCCCTCCCAGCGACCAATCAGAACACGGGAAACGAGACCTGTTAGAACGGCGCGACCAATCACAGCGCCGGGCGAGGCTTCATTACCGTGGGATCTCGCGAAGCAATTCCGGACAGAGAAAAATCGCAGAAGCTCTTTGAAATATGTTCTCTTTTTTTAATATCTCTATATATATTATATACACATTATCGTACATCCTTCGAACACCAGTGAGGCGCTGTTTTTTTCTTTTCTTTTCTTTAAATCGTTAATTAAGGCACAATATATCAATGTACACAAAGTGGAAGTCGAACCACGTGTCTTTGAGAGGATATCAGAGTGGTTGCAATACAAAACGATTTCTTTTTCTTAATAGTTGGTATTGACGAAGATGAGGATATAGTGATCATTTGATTCTGAACTCCCTTCTTTCTCTGAAGAAAAGGAAAAACAAGGAAATAAATGAAAGAGACGGAAGAAAGAGAGAGAGAAAAGGAGAGTCGGAGACAGACAGAGAAACCGAGACGCACACAAAAAGAGAAACGTAGAAACAGACACAGAGAAACACAGTAAGACACAGTGAAAGAAACGGAAAAAAAACAGACACAGAAGCAATAAGACACAGAAAGAGAAACGCAGAAACAGACACAGGGAGAAAGAAGCTCCTCTCACCCTTACAACAGACCCCTTTTCCCTTTCCCTTTCCCTTTCCTTTCCGATCAACAGCGAGCCACGGTCAATAACTATAAAAGACCAGAGCGCCTCACTGACCACATCAGCCGGTATTAAGTCTATTGGGACATTAAATGGACATTTCTGACCATTAAATGCTCCCCCCGTTTGTCTCGGGTTACTGTTTGCGAGAGGAGACAGAGAGGAAGGGGAGAGAGAGAAAGGGAGAGAGGGAGGGGAGGGGGGAAGGAGGGAGTGGGGAGGGGAAGGGAAATAGGGAGAAGGACAGAATGGGAGAGGGAGAAGGAGAAGGAGAAGGAGAGAGAGAGAGAGAGAGAGAGAGAGAGAGAGAGAGAGAGAGAGAGAGAGAGAGAGAGAGAGAGAGAGAGAGAGAGAGAGGAAGATAGATAAGAGAGAGAGAGGAGAGGTGGAAAAAGGGAGGGGATTCCGGAACAAACGGGGAATAGGGATAGAAAGAGTATGGGAGAAAGAAAGTCGAGGACAAATTTAATAATGATGAATTAAAGAAGTGCAATGATGTGAGTGTGTAAGTGCATGTCCTTGTGTATATGTACGTGTGCATGTACGTGTATGCACAAGTGTATATAGGTCTCTATACGTATGGATATCAGCCTATGTCTATGCGTTTATACAGATCTTCCCATACAAGCACAAGCGCACGCGTGTGTGCTTGTATACCTTCGACCCTAAACACACACACGAACACACAATCCTTTCCCCCCCTCCCCTCCGCTCTCCCCCTCTCCCCCCTCCCCCCCGCTGGCGTCCGTGTTTACTGTGACATCATTAGCTTCACAAAAACACACGCGCCTCCATAACGGCCTCCGTCGCTCTCGGAATATCAATTTACAATTTACAAATCATCAGGCTTCTGAATCTATAATTGTGAGGCTGTGAGGACGCGGCGGAGGAGGACGGTTGTGAGGTGATGATGAGGATAGTGACGAGGGTAAGGATATTGGGCTGATGGTGATTGTGGTAATGATTCGAGGAAGAACAGTATTACTACTTTTAATAGTACTAATAGCAGTGATAATGTTATATTAAGTGTGATTATAACGCTGCTAATGATGGTAATAATAATAATACCTTTAATGATAATGTTAGTAATAACAGTAATGATAATAAAAATAATAATAATAATAGTAATATTAATGATAATAATAATGTGAATAACAGAATAAGAATAATAATAACAATGATAATAGTAATGGTAATAATAGCAATGAAAAATAACAACGAAAATAATAATGCAATTACTAATAGCGATGGTAATGATGATTATGATAATATCCTTAATGAAGACATTAACCGTAACAACAATAATGAAAAGTGAGAAACTAACAGTAACGCTAATACAGTCAATGTATCAATATTCGAAAACTAAAGGCAGCACTGACAGAATTATAAATAAAAAAAGATCACTCTAACAACAACAATAAAAAACAACTTCATACTGTGTAAGTGAGACTTACACAGCAGAGTCAAAATGGAGTTTCTTTTAGTGACGTCACAGATAGCCGTGGGAGTAGGTGGGGGGGGGGAGATTAAATTGTGGTTGGTCCGATTTTCTTGTTTTCTTGTATTTGTTGATGGCGTGTTTATATTTTGTGTGGTAGTGTTTTTTGTAGTAATAATGAAAAAAAATCAGAATGACGATGAGGAGGTTGAGGAGGGAGGAGAAGGTGGAACAGAAGAGGAAGCAGACGAAGAAAGAGAAAAAGAGGAGGAAGAAGAAGAAGAGGAAGAAGAAGAAGATGAGGAAGAAGAAGAAGAAGAAGAGGAAGAAGAAGAAGAAGAGGAAGAAGAAGAAGAAGAAGAAGAAGAAGAAGAGGAAGAAGATGAAAATTATTTATGAAAAAGGGAGATGAAGAAGCATAAAGAAATACAGAAAGCAAAGAAGAAAAAGCAAAGAATTATCGTGTACATAATAAAAAAAGAAATAAAATCGCGTATTCGATCCCACAAACTTCCACTATAGTTTCACACACACAAAAAAATGTTCAACGACTTCATTTTTCAAACTTCTTCAAGTTCAACGAAAAAGAGTAATCGTTTTTTTCTTTTCTTTCTCTCTCTTCCTTTTCCTCCGCGTTCTCTCCTACACTGAACAGTCGCAGCAAGTGAACACTTTCCCGGCAATCTCAATTTTTGAACACAATAGGCTTCTTATCTCTTATTTTCTTTCCTTGTCAGTTTCTCTTTCTTTTCTTTTTTCTCTTCCTTTCTTTCTCTCTTCTTTCCTTTGTCTCTTCCTTCCTTCTTCTCTTCGCTTTTTCTTCTCTTCCTTCCTTCTTCATCTATTTCTTCCTTCTTCTTCTCTTCTTTTTTTTTCTTCTCCCTTCCTTCTTCTCTCCCTTCCTTCTCCTCTTTCCCTTCCTTATTCACCCCCTCCTCCTCCTCTTCACCACGTGCGAAGTGTCTGCTGGTTATACGTCTGTGTCTGTTGGTATGTCTGGGCACTGTAGGGGCACTGGTAGGCAGGGGGGGAGTACTGAGGGGGGGTGTAGGCCGGAGGGTAGGTAGGCGGATACCCTGCTGGGCACGGCTTTCCATCTCGGACCAGGACCTGAGGGAGATGGCACAGGGTCAGGGTTGTGGCACTCTCGCTTGTCAGTTAGTATTAGGGATATTTGCCAATTATTATTATTATTAGATCGTCATTATTGTTTTACTACTATTACTGTTATTATTGTTATTAGTCTTCATTATTATTGTTATTATTATTATTATTATTATTATCATTATTATTATTATTATTATTATTATTATCATTATCATTGTCAGAATCATCATTAGTGTTATTGTTACTGTCACTGCTTGTACTTTATCATTATAATTATCAACATTATTCTTTTTCTTACTTACATTAATATGATCAATATTATGACCATCATTATTATCTTTATTACTATAATTATTATCATTATCATCATTGTCATGATGATTATTATCATCATTATTATTATTACTGTAATTATTAGTATTAATATCACTATCATTATCATTGTAATTATCATTATATTATTATTATTATTATTATTATTATTATTATTTATTATTATTATCATTATCATCATTATTATCATTATTATCACCATCATCATCACTATTATTATTATCATCATCACTGTTATCATTATTATTATTATTACTATTACTACAATTAATATCACGATTATTAATATTACTAGCATTAGCATTACTGTTATTATCAGTTATCATTATCTTTATTGTTATCATTATCCTCATTAGTATCATTATTTTCTTCCTCATTCTTATGAGCATTTTTATTGCTATAGTTATGATCATTACTAATATCATCATTATCATTATCATTACGTAAGATCAACGGCAGATCGACAGAGAGACAGTACAAAGGAGGGCAGATGCACAAAATTTACAGCTGACAATCAGATAAATATTCAAACGAAAAATAGGTTTTATATATAGTAATTATCAGGAGACAAATGAAGCTTCAAACAAGGAAACAAGTAACCAGAAGAGAATGAGAGAGAGAGAGAGAGAGAGAGAGAGAGAGAGAGAGAGAGAGAGAGAGAGAGAGAGAGAGAGAGAGAGAGAGAGAGAGAGAGAGAGGGAGAGAGAGATAAAAAGAGAGAGAGAGAGAAAGAGAAATAGATAGATAAAACGAGAGAGAGAGAGAAAGAGAAATAGATAGATAAAGAGAGAGAGAGAGAGAGAGAGAGAGAGAGAGAGAGAGAGAGAGAGAGAGAGAGAGAGAGAGAGAGAGAGAGAGAGAGAGAGAGAGAGAGAGAGAGAGAGGGAGAGAGAGATGAAAAGAGAGAGAGAGAGAGAGAGAAATAGATAGATAAAAAGAGAGAGAGAGAGAAAGAGAAATAGATAGATAGATAGATAGAGAGAGAGAGAGAGAGAGAGAGAGAGAGAGAGAGAGAGAGAGAGAGAGAGAGAGAGAGAGCGCGCGCCAGACGGACAG